ACTAGGTTTAGTACTGGAACAAAGGAACGACTCAAAGGACGTTTTGATTAGATATCGTTTAAAACTGCGCAGTTTTTCCATTAGTCAATATTAAACTGTCTCATGCGCTTGAGACTTTCTACCCATTAAGTTCTTTTCAAGTGTTACTTTGATAAGCCTTGCTTGAAAAGTTGATGCCCATTATTCCTGGATAGAGTATTCTTTTTTTGCTTTATTCTGAGTACCCCTTCGAACCATTAATAAGAATTCCTCTGATTTGGTGAACTATTGTACAAGGTAAAACTTCTTCTAATCTTAGCTTAAAAAAGTCCTGCAGAATGTAGTTGTTCCAAACGCAGATTTATCCTTACCGTGGCCATTAAAAGAGGAGAATATGACCTTTATACATTACCGTGCTTTTTCCAATTTTTTTCCTCCTGATAGGACTCTGAGTTCAGTGGACTTGTAATGAATGGTAACACTGATATTGTTAGGTTACTTCTAGAGTACGGAGCTGATGTCAACAAAGAAGTAGGGGTACGTTACAAGCAAAAATTGTATTTGTTATGTCGGGTTTAGGGAAAGTTTGAAAGTCAAGTTTTGTATCGTTGGTCGAATTTTTTTCGCTGTTGAGAAAAACGTTCCAAAAGTTGCGAGCTCTTTCTATTCCTTTCTTGTTTTTTGTTTGGTAACGATGTAGTGCTAGCCTGCTCATAATATAATTTTCTCGCGAGCTACTAGGAAACTTGGGTAGAAAGTAACGAAAAGCCGGAAAAAAAATTATTTCGAGACCAATGCTCTTTTTAAAGGAAGGGCTAAATTTGTTTGATGGTGGTGACAAGTCGAGAATGTTTAAGTTGAATTATCAGTATTGCATCGTTTACTGCATATAAAAAATATGTAATCAGTGGAATAAGCCTGCACACATCTCTGGATGATGGTATTGGTTTTCAATCGATAGATTAGGTAAAGAGGTACGATGGTCTATAGCTCTGGAACGAGCACGGTTACCTGTATTTTCTTTGCCTAATTTTTAGTGTATAAATTATTCTCTTTAAATTAGAGTAATTGAAAAAAATCATCGACGGGAAAAAAAGGTACTGCTAAAAATGTGCACCAATCCGTTTACTCGATGATGGATATCATGACCTTGAAAGGAACGACTCAAAGCACGTTTTAATTAGATATCGTTTAAAACTACGCAGTTTTTCCATTAGTCAATATGAAAGTGTCTCATGCGGTTGAGACTTTCTACCCATTAAGTTCTTTTCAAGTGTTACTTTGATAAGCCTTGCTTGAAAAGTTGATGCCCATTATTCCCGAATAGAGTATTCTCTTTTTGCTTCATTCTGAGTACCCCTTCGAACCATTAATAAGAACTCCTATGCTTTGGTGAACTATTGTACAAGGTTAAACTCCTTCTGACGTTAGCTTGAAAAAGTCCTGCAGAATGTAGTTGTTCCAAACGCAGATTTATCCTTAGCGTGGTCATTAAAAGAGGAGAATATCATTTTTATACATTACCGTGCTTTTTCTAATTTTTTTTCTACTAATAGGAGGACACTCCGCTCAGTGCAGCTGCAAAGAATGGTCACACTGATCTTGTTAGGTTACTTTTAAAGAACGGAGCTGATGTCAACAAAGGAGTACAGGTAGATTAGAAACAAAAATTGTATTTCTTATGTCGGTTTTAGGCAAAGTTTGAAAGTCAAGTTTTATATGGTTGATCGAATTTTTTTCGCTGTTAAGAAAAACGTTCCAAAAGTTGCGAGCTCTTTCTATTCCTTTTTTGTTGTTTCTTTGGTAACGTACT